GTGCGATGTGGGGCTTCACGTAGGAGCAGGAATAAAGGAAGAGCCATGATTCGGTAATAAGGCCACACCAGGAAGAGAGCTGGTGAGGCTGTCTAGACAATGTCTCACTGAAGATCCAGCAGAGAGACCCAAACAGGAAAAGGAGGAAGGTCATTTAAAGGGGGAGGGACTTCCTTTCAAAGCAAACTCAGTCACCTGGTGCTTCTCAAAAGCATGACATGAATATGCAGTGTATCCATGCACTCTGTGCTATCAATATATTAAACATGGACACGTTTCCCAGCCCGAAGCTAATGGCTAATGGACCAACCAAAGCTGAGAGCAGACAGGAGCTCATCATCCACTGTCTGCATCCTGCAGCTTCTCTAGAGAAGGTCCACCCTGCACCCCTTCACCCTCCCTGGTCCAAATACCCTGGAGGGTCACTCTTAATTAGTCAACAAGCTGGTCAATTAGTTGGGTAAGAGAATGTTCCTCCTAAGGTGGGAGAGACCGTGACCTGCATCTGTGCCAAGAAACTATCAACTGCCAATGAGACTGTTTAAAGAACCCTAACCTGCATCTATACCAAGGAACAAAGAAAAAAAAAGAAACCGGGTAAGTTACGGGGCGAGTGGAACACTTGGGCCTTCCCTGAAAATCCTCTTTTGCCATTTCAGGGCAAACTGCAAACGCACGGAAGTTTCATTCCCTGAAGCAATTTACTTTGTGGGAATTGCTGGAATTCAAAATAACAAATGATGAATTTGTGACCAAGTGACCAGTGCCAGGAGTGTCCCCAGCAGGCCTGGCCTATGCTGATAAGAACATTATTAATAATGGCACAATTGGTGTGAGAGACCCCCTTCTCAGAAATCTACACTTCTCAGGTAATTAACATCACAGAAATAATATGCCAGACCAGCATTGGTTGTTTTGACGCTTAACTGCAGGAAAACGGCAGCTAAAACTGAAACAGAACCTACCAGTGTGTCGTCACTGACATAGGATTCGGCCGCGGCGGCCTGACCACGGGACGAACAGGAAGCGGCTGTCAGGGGTAAAGGCCGACGAGGGCGCGGGCATTCTGCACATGCCTTCCTATCAGCTGCACGGGCCCGCTGACGCCTCCATGGAAACAGGAGGTCATGCGGAGGCAGGGCTAACACGCGAGATGAAAGGGGAATGGGATCGAAGAGACCGCAGATCCGGCCCCGGCCACATGGCGAAAGACAGATCCTGGATTTCACAGCCGTTCGGCTATGACTCACAGCCAGAGACACTGTCCCTGGTGAAGAGCAGAAATATATCCGTTCGTTACCATGTGACCCAGACACCGAGGCACTCAGTAATCCCTGATCGCCGGGTGTCTGTTTTCAGCACCGCAGAAGACCACGTCCCTCAGAGATCTCCATGCTTCCACCATGTTTCAGGGATCCACACTTTAAGCCCAGTTTCAAGGGCTCTACTGGAATAGATTTAGAGATGTGAAGATTTCACTTCCTGTTTATACAACCCACTGGATTATGTTAATAATCCCCGCATGACACAACGTTCTGAGCACCGAGTTAAATAATTCTCCAGTTTCCAGCCAAAAACCAGTTAGCAAAATCACACCCGTATAACCAAAGTTGTGACGTAATATTTTTTGCTACTAGCGGACTGGGCTAGTACAGTAAAACATGTAATAGGCTAGTGTTCGGTTTTTGTACTTGGGTTTTATCTGAATTACTCTCCTCAGGCGAGTGGGCGAGCTTCATTTACAGCCAGTATATGAAAAGGAAAGGAACGGAGCTCTGAGCGCACACGGACGAACACGGAAATGGAAAGAAACATTACGAAAGGCACCTGCACAAACACACACTGTATCACACGTCAAACTGGCCACAGTGTTGCGTTATTAATACCACTCTCTGTCATATTAATCACTAGCCACGAGCCTCGGAGGATGTCATAGCTGAAGATTAACAGCCACTGCCGGCCCTTCGAGTCGAGCGCATTTCCTGCGACCTGCAAAGGGACGACGGCCCCACAAGGAACCGGGATTTAGTCGAGTTTTTACTCAGCTGCGATAGAGACAAGCAGGACACCATCTCCTCCATCCTCTACGGTCTGGCAGGACACAGAGCTATCAAAGCCAAACCACCAGACATCAGTGTTCCTCACTGACAATGACTGGTCTGCTAACTGCACACATTGTGCCTCTTACTGCCATTACCCCAGTTAAGCCACTTTTAGACATTCACTGCCACTCTGAACTGTTCCGTACATTACACAGAAAGGCTGCACGTGTGAAAGCAGGTGTCTCAATCAGTCGTGCTGGACATTAAACAGACTTTTCCCTGGTAACTTCCCGATGACGTCCCCATCATGCGAATGACAGGAAAACAGAAGAATACAAGCAGCCAGAAAATTCTGTCAGAAAGGGCATATGCTGAAATCTGTCATCTGACAGATTCGAGGAATGACAAGAGACTCAATGGTGTGCGATCAGATTATAATACGGCTATGTGACTGGAGTGTAATCTGAACTAAGGTGCAGGTGAGCGGCGAATATTTTCGATGTGCTGTCAAAACATTGATTTCCGCAGTGCACTTCTTGCGTCATGCCCTACCTCCTGCATGCTCTACCAAAGCGCCACCCCTTGTTTAAACCCACTGGAGTATTTCTAGTAGGTGTGAATGCGTCTGACGCTGACAGTGTCCGCTTGTGTGCCACAAGTGTGAAAGGGCAACTCTGAAAAATGTCCAGACCGGATTCTGCGGACAATGTCCGGAATTCACGAGTGAAAATGGCTTTACATTCACTATTTATTTATGTCACCCTCTACTCCATCCCATGCTGCTTCTGACTATCAGTAGACAATCGAGCATAAGAAGTATGTGCAAAAATTAGATACTTATAAAATGTCATGCATGTTCTATGTTATATCTGGGAAAAGCCCTGGACAACCTCTTCCTGTGTTGAACGTAGTTAGCCTATAAAGATCTTCCTGACTGTGAAGAAGCGGAGTGCACAGCCACGGATTTCACTCAGCACGAGGCCTTTAAAGGTAACGCACAGGCACGGCGGCCGGATAGCGCACAGAGGCAGTGCTCGCCTTTGAGGCGTCCCCGATACCTGCAATAACCCCCCCACACAGCTATTAATAGGCCTGGTGTCAGCCCTCTGTCAGGGTATTTTTAGCAGCCCCAGAAGGCACAGCTCCATACCCTTGAAAAAAGATGAAAGAAAGGCAGGGAGGGTGAGAGAGAGTGGTTTTACAGGGAACATGGGGCAGGCTGATCTTCACCCACACGGCCCGCCTGACACGGCCTGTAAGTGATGCGGAGGGAGCCCCTGTCAACAATTAGGCTGCTGGCCAGCGGCATGGCCTGCAGTGCGGGAACTGGAAGTGATGCGGTGGGA